GTTTGAGAGAGGCGGGGCATAGAGGACCAACAATAATGTACAGTATTTGAAAAATAATGTGTTTTTTGAACATTAAAGCATGTCAACATATTCTGTTACACCAAATACACAAAATAATGATCTTTAAAAAAGCATCATATGACCCCTTTAATATTTGCGACTGACACCAGCGATTGTATATGCGGTTATGCAGTGGAGATGCGTTAACTGTCAAACATCATTCAGCATTCATTTTGTAATTTTGTCATATTTTTTCTTGATTACACATCTTGATCTTTATTTTATTTCACAAGTTAACATTGCAAGTTAAATGGTTTTAGATTATGCGTTCTATTCTGAAGAAAGTAAAATAAAATAGCCTATATTATGTCAGTGATTTTTCTCATTTTAAAGATATTATCAAGAATTATTTTTTCAATCTGCAGTCTAACAAAAGTTTAAAAAAAAATTTATTTGATGAACTTTTAACTTTTTCTTAAAATTTGTTATGTTATTAACTTCATAACAAATAGGCTATTCTTCAAAACTAATATTCTTCATAACAAATATGTGACCCTGGACCACAAAACCAGTCGTAAGAGTTCATTTTTTGAAATTTAGATGTATATATCATCTGAATGCTGAATAAATAAGCTTTCCATTGATGTATGGTTTGTTAGGATAGGACAATATTTGGCCGAGATACAACTATTTGAAAATCTGGAATCTGAGGGTGCAAAAAAAAATAAAAATATTGAGAAAATCGCCTTTAAAGTTGTCCAAATGAAGTCCTTAGCAATGCATATTACTAATCAAAAATTAAGTTTTGATATATTTACAGTAGGAAATTTACAAAATATCTTCATGGAACATGATCTTTACTTAATATCCTAATGATTTTTGGCATAAAAGAAAAATCAATAATTTGGACCCATACAATGTATTTTTGGCCTAGCGACTTAATACTGGTTTTGTGGTCGAGGGTCACATATAGGAACATAACAAATACCTATTCTTAAAAGCCATTTTTTCTTAAATTTCGTTAAAAAAAAATCACAAATATGACACAAAATAAAATAATTTTATATACTCAGTTTAATTATATATAATAGTTTTGTGTCAAATGGATAAGGAAATTACAATGCCTTGAATTTCTCTGCAGTTCTTAACGTTTGCTGTAGACTAATATAATGAAAAGCTAAATACAAAAATAACATTTTTATATGACTTTTGTTTCTGAATAAATGGAGCAGTAATGTTTTATTTCATTCTGACTGGAAACTCGGGAACTGTAACCAAAAAAAATAGACCCTTTTTAATCAGAACCAATTCATTTTTAATCCCTTTCAGACATACAAAAGATAATGAATATACTATTGCTTGACCAAACGTTTAAAAATAGCACTAGAAATGTTATAATTAAGGAAATTAAACATTGGTGTCTGAAAAGGCATAATGAAATGTGTCTGCTCAAACTATAATTCAAAAAAGAAAGAGAAACATAGGACTTAATTAAAAAAAATATTCAAGACATCGCTGTTGCATTTATTAGCAACACCAGGCAACAACAACTGGCCATCAGGACCACCGGGAGAATTCCCGGCGGCCTGGCGGCTGATTTGGCCCGCTGCCCGTTTTTTTTTATTTTTTTATTTTTTATTAATATTTTATGTTTATGCCTTCTCAATGTACCAAAGTGATAATTTCCGATTTTTTCATTCGATAATAAATCATAAATCGGTCTTGACTGTCAGCGCTGCTCTATACGAATCAGCTCACGTGTGTTCTGGTTTTCAAGGCAGTATCGTCGATACCGATACCGATTCGATACTTCTGCACTAAACTTTTAAATTATGAAATTTATTACATTATTAAATTACTAAGAGTAAAATGAGTAATGAAAACCACTTAACTTTGTTTAAAACGCATTTTAACCCGTTTAATCCCAAATTTTTCCCGTTTTCCCGATTTTGACGTTATTAACCCTTTGAAATAATCAATTATGGTTTTTTAAATTTTTTTGGAAAAGTGTGTGAAAAATGTTATTTTATGGTCAGTCACAATTGTAATCGGTGGGATAATGTGTATACTGAATTAACATTTTTCTGCAGTCTTAGAAATTGTTATATATCTTAGCCCAGCTATTTTAAACTGTTTGATCACATTCTAGGGTTACTATTATGCATAAAAAACCCTTATACAACATTGATAGGAATACTGAGATCAAATAAAAAAAATACAACCATCAACGTATTTCAAAATTGTTACTTTGTTGTAACATATATCATCACATTTTTATATTAGTGCTTACCAGTATTACACCATTAATATTCTAACTTATTTGTAACATTTCAACTTTTGATTTAGTGCAATATTTTGTACTGCCATTAGGGACTGCCAGTGACAGGCTGTTGCACGCATGAAATGCAACCTTTTTATTCGGACAGTGTATGATTTCTATTAACATTACAGAATAGAACCTGATCAATATTCTCTTTCAACGTTCAGTTTAAATAATTGTAATTGCACAAACTATGTAGGCTACAATTTCAGTTTGTTTATTGTGAAATAACTCAAACATTTATGTTTTTATTTCTGTTCTCTGATAAGCATTGTTCAGGGCTGCCGTTCCCAAAAGCTTTAATGCTTTCTTATGATACTTTTGGGAAACGCAGCCCTGTTTGAATGCACTATCAGAAGTGAGTGAACGCTCTCTGTGATTGATCGGTTCTATCTTGCAACAATTGCGTGTTTTCAGATGAGCAGGAAAATAGTTCTATCCTACACATTTACTCGCTAACAAAGGTTATTCGTCCAATTCAATGCATATTTTATGCATTATTATTATTATTATTATTTTTGTTAAATAAATAAAACCACTGGTAAATAAGGTGCACCTTAGTATCGATATTTTTTGTTTGAGTATCGATACTTTCGATACTCGCGTCAGTATCGATATATCGATACTTCGGATCGATACGCCCATCCCTAGAAAGCGGCCAGAAGAAGCAGTGAAATGTAGCAACATCACTGACCTGTTCAGGGCTTCAAGTGCAGGTCAGCTTCATCTGTAAATATGCTAGATAGTTTTGTTTTATTAACGTAGTTGAGTATTAAACTGCTAGTATCTGTTAGGCTATCAGTAGCACCCCATTATTATCATCATTCAGAACACTGTGCTAAAGGACATCAATATCGATTGTAAAGTTACATAAAAAAAATTTAGCAGAGACAGATATTCACATGGATTTATTGTACAGGGAGGGAGGGAGCTAGAGCAGACAGCAACACAAAAATAATATGAGTAACATGCTCACAGCCTAATAATTCAACAGTTTATTAGACTTTTTCAACAAATATATTGTACTAATTTTGGCATTTAGGCACTTTAGAAATTGTGTGTTAATACACTTACCAGTCAGAAGGTTTTGATCAGTAAGATTTGTAATGTTTTTTAAAGAAGTATCTTCTGCTCACCAAGCCTTCATTTATTTGATCCAAAATACAGCAAAAACAGTAATATTGTGAAATATTTGTACTATTTAAAATAACTGCTTTCGATTGGAAGATATATTTAAAATGTAATTTATTCAACAAATTGAAATGAGGTGAATGTTTTCAACAAGGTGGACACAGTTCTGTTCATAACAGTAGACCTGCTGGTGAAGAAATGACAGGTGAGAAAAAAAAGAGGGGGAGGGTACAGATATTGGGGAAAAATGAAGGAAAGGGAAGTGAAGGTGCAGTGCAAGAGTGAATCTTTAATTATTTCCCACGGCCCCAGACTAAGGATTTAGACCTTTTTACATGATGGCCATACAAATAACAGGGTTGTCTGGTTTCAGAAATTGTTGTGGATGTATGGGCTATATACAGGAAATAAGGGGCCAAAATTGCACCTTTTGGGGTACAACAGCTTGTCACTGGAACAGGACCCTTAAAAGGACATATTTGTTCCTTTTTTACAAATGATTACCTTAAGGGTACGAATTACTACTCTTAAGGTACTAATATGTACGGTGTACTGCTACGGTGTCAAGCTGTTGTACCCCAAAAGGTACAATGTTGGCCCCTTTTTTTCTGTGTGGCCTGGATGAGTGTGAGATTTCCCGGCCTGAAATTGCGTCCCAGTCCGGCCCTGAGCAACACCAACACAGCAGGAAAGCAAATGTTTTCTGTTATATTAAGCACAAACTAAGAAAAGTAAAACGAACCTTTAGTATTTCAAGAATTAAATAAAAGCACCGGTGTTGTTCTTGTGAGATTGTGAGATTTTTTTTTTTGTTTTTTCTTCAAAAAAATGTTTTCAGTCATGACTCGCCAGTCGTTAAGTGTGTAGTGCAGTGGACTGCCTCAGTCATTAGGTTTGTGCTCGTCTCTGACTGTCAAAGACTAGAATATGCTCCAGTCGATGCAAACAGTCTTTAAGTGGGTTGAGTCTTAGAATGTTTTAACTAGTCGTGTAGTATGTCCACAGCTTTATTAGGATCACAAGGAACTGTGTTTTTTCACAACGTAGACTACACAGCATGTTATAATCCTCTGAGGCTTCTCTGTGGTTTTGTTGATGGAGTAATCCTGTGTTTGCATCTCTCTAGTATTTCCTTCCTCCTGCTACATGCGTGAATCAGTAGGTGGGGCTAAAGAGGCAATAGAAATAGGCATTGATCATCTTCTGCAGAGGTGGTGTTTTCGCCTCACTGTGATGTAATAATGTGACAAATACCAAAACAAGTCGTTTTGCGGCTTGGTTTCAATAAAAGCTGTTTTTGAACTAACAAAAAAGTTTTAATTCTGAAACCTACAGGATGTATTTATAGTACACAGACCTGTTAGATGTCAAAAGATCAAGGGAAATTTGATTTCTTGGTTCATGACCCCTTTAAGGAAAAATCCAAACCTGTGTTATGCATTTCTGTCCATGGAGCCTTTTCACATTTCCAGGGTTCTCAGAAGCAGAAGTTGTCATAGTTTGGTGAACGTCTATAGTGATGAATGTAAACTACAACAAATATGTTTTATGCTCCCATTTGTGCAAATAGCAAAAGAAAAAAAAAACATAATAACATTTATATGGCATTTGCATGTTTCTGCATCAGCTGTTCAAATGTTTTTATCTACTATAATATTTCTGATTTTAGGATTTATAGTTTTAGTTTGTGCTTATTGAATCAGGTTTGGCCAGTGATTGTTGCAATGTTAATATTAGTCCAGGACCAACAAAGTAATCAAGGAACATTTCCTACTTGCCCAAATCATATTGTGCATTTACTTACAGCCTACTTATGTCCAATCCTCCTCTTCTAGACTCCTCCCACCCATTCTCATGCCCTGCCTACATGCTCTACACATCCCTCATCTACAGGAACACAAGCACACCTGTCTTCACCATACTCAAAGGGGTAGGAACCTGTGTGTGTGTGTGTGTGTGTGTGTATCACCATAAGACCCTGATTCTCAGCAGTGTTCAGTTTCAAAATGACTGTTTATTTGCATAAGAGATTGCACGTCTATCAGTAATAGTAGGAAATCTTCTAATTACATTTTTATGAATGCAGCATTTCTTTTTACTCTCACAGAAGGCGACTTTGTTAAGCAATGGTCAGTTCTCTGAGGAGTCGTCTAGTTCTGAGGAGGAGGACAGTTCGGAGGAGTGTCAGTCTAACTCTGGAGAGGAGGAGAACTCCCAGAGCTCTGAATCAGAGTCACACAAGATGAGCAGCCATGAAAGCCCCGGCTCCCTTAAGAGAGGTACACACATCATGTGATAGTGGTGTAGATCAGTGTTAGTTACCAAGAACCTGCAAGTTTCAACCCTGGAAGAAGCAATTTATCACCACTGTACCTCTGAGCAAGAACCTCAACCATAGTATGTAATAAATAGAAGTTGCTCTAAAATATTTATACTTTATGTGTAATCTCTGTAAAATAATAATAATCGTGAAGGACTGGAGAATTCATGGAGAAGTCAATGAAATGTGTTGGTTACAAGTGGTGGAAAAGCATCTACAAAATAGTCCTTATGGTTTCCATGATGCAGAATCCAGTCATAAAAATGAAATTTACAGTATAACATGGAATGTCATGGACATTTTTTGATTAATTAATCAAAAGTAGAGCTATAAAATGGATCAAATTCAAATTGTGATATAAACTAGTGTCTGTGACTAGTAAACTATATAGTTGTATTTCACTTTTAATTATGAGAAATTTTGCCTTGGCAACTAGCTAAATTAAAATAAGTTGAATGTTTTTTGTTTTTTATATTATATTTTATTTCAGTTCAAGTTTATTTTAAGTAACATACATTTATGTAGTTTTAGATTTGAACTAGTAACCCTTATTTTCATTTGATTTCATTTCGAAAGATTAAACTGTTAAAGTTTTATAAGTTAAATTGATTAGACATGTTTTTTTGCCGAATAAATTAGCCTATTAAAAGACAATCCAGAAAAATTCAAATGGAACACACAGAATTTGGGTAAGAATAAAATAAAATGGCTTTTATAGGGCCCAACACACACACACACACACACACCCTCAGTCACTGAACGTGTTGTGTTTTTCTCAGCTGTGTCATTGTCTTCTATGACATCTGAGAGTGACTACGCCATCCCTCCTGATGCTTACTCCACTGACACTGAGTGCTCTGAACCTGAAAACAAACTGCCAAAGACCTGCTCCTCCAGCAGTGACAATGGCAAGAGTGTAAGACGCATGCACACACACACACACACACACACACACACTTGTGCTTCTCAATTAGTCACAGCTGCCAGACCAAATGAGAATGCGTTGTGTTCCAGGAGTCTATGGAGAAGTCTGGATACCTGCTCAAGATGGTCAAGACATGGAAGAAAACGTGGAAGAGGCACTGGTTTGTTCTGAAGGACGGGGAGCTTCTCTACTACAAATCACCAGTCAGTTTAGCTCATGTATCTCATTTTATTTTTGTTGTTCTGTTTTATTCTTTATTTCTTTCATAAAGTTCTCATATTAATGATATCGTCTTGTTCTTGAGTTTTCATTTTTGTCATATTACTTTATGTTCTTTGTTTCCTGCATTTCCTGTGGTTCTTTGATTTTCTTTCCTAGAGTGACGTGATCCGTAAACCCCAAGGTCAGATTGAGCTGAATGCGTGTAGCACTATAGCACGTGGTGATGGCAAACAGATGCTTCAGGTAAAGCGCGTGTGTGAGAGAGAGAGTTTGTTCAAACGTCTCAGATTATTTCACATGACTGTCCGTGTTAATGTTGTGTCCCTTCAGGTGGTGACAGGTAAGAGTGTGTGTAATCTGAAGGCAGATTCCCCAAACCTCCTGGAGGAGTGGCTGAGGGTCCTGCAGAGCATCCTGAGAATCAAAGCTGCGAGTCCGCTCTTCACTCACCCTGACGCACGGCCTGTTATGAAAGGACATCTGACCAAGGTATACTGTAGAAAGGAAAAGATTATATATATATATGTACTGTGTATGTATATATGTATATGCTACTGTTCAAAAGTTAGTTTTTTATGTCTCCTATCCTCACCAAGGTTGCCTTTAATTTATTTAAAAATACAGTAAAACAGTAATATTGTGAATTTATAATTTAAAGTAGCTGTTTCTATTTGAACATATTTTAAAATGTAATTTATTCCTGTGATGGCAAAGCTGAATTTTCTGCATCATTACTCCAGTCGTCAGTGTCACATGATCCTTCAGAAATCATTCAGATATGAATGATTTGATGCTCAAGAAACATGTTTCATTATTATCAATGCTGAAAACAGTTGCTGCTTAGTAGTTTTGTGGAAACTGTGAAAAGGTTTATTCTTTGATGAATGGAAAGTTTGAAAGAACAGCATTTACTAGAAATAGAAATATTTTATACATCATAATGGTTTACTGTGTATATTATTGCTGAAAACAATAGCCTATAATACTAAATATTAAATCATTTAAATACAAATATGTTGTTTTTCTACTCAAAATTGGAAAAACAGGTTCCTACAGTGATAATATGCCCGATACAGTGATCAACTTGTTAAATAAAATACCTTTTTTCCTTTGTTGTCACCACTTCTTTAATCTCTGTATGTCTATGTAAACTGACTTTGATAAATCAGCCCACTTTGAGAGATGAGAGTGTGAAAGTCGTAGTATTGTGCTGGTCAGGGCACTTTACCAGTTTGAATCATAGCCCAGGTATAATGCATATCCCATTGTAGCTGTTTGTAACATGTTTGTCTCTGACTCTTTAAGGTGAAACATGGCTACTCTAAGCATGTGTGGTGTGAGCTGTTTGGAAAAACTCTCTACTACTTCAGAAATCAAGATGACAAGGTATTTTGTCTCATTAAATTACAGTCAACCTGCACAGGACTTCTGTATGTGTCCATGCACTAATAGCGTATTTCCCTACCCAGTTTCCTCTGGGTCAGATCAAACTGTGGGAGGCTCGTGTGGAGGAAGTGCAGAAGTCATGTGACGTAGCTGAAGACTCTGCTCAGTACACCCTCTCCATTCAGTCAGTGAGTCAGGACCCAGCATACCTGCTCATCGACTCGCCTCATGAGAAGGTAGGCAAGCCGTATTGAATAATATTAAAATAAAACCACAAATACTTGTTGTGCATCCCTTTTGAAAAAGAAGTGCACTTCATTGTATTGAATGTGTACTTCAAATCTTAAACGTATATTTAAAAAAAAAACTGTACTTGTAGATAATATAATATCAATGAAATAAAAATGTAAAACTATGTTTCTTAACACACTTAAGTAGACTTTAAACATCTACTTCGTAATAATGTCAAATTAGTTTTAGTACATTTTAAATTGTTTTAATAATCTTTTCTCACGTTTTAAAGAAGTACACTTATTTTGATGTGTTGACTAACATACTAAAGCACATGTAAAGTCTTGATTATAATTTTAACTGTAGTGTTGTTCAGTATTACATTTGAAGTTAATATATTTTAAATGTACTAAATTATAACTCCATCATTACAAATGTGTCATTTAAATATATGTGACCCTGGACCACAAAACCAGTCATAAGGGTACATTTTTCGAAATTGAGATTTATACATCACCTGAAAGCTGAATAAATAAACTTTCCATTGATGTATGGTTTGTTATTAGGACAGGACAATATTTGGCCCAAGATATAATTATAAAAAAATCTGGAATCTTGAGGGTGCAAAAAAATCAAAATATTGAGAAAATCGCCTTTAAAGTTGTCCAAATGAAGTTCTTAGCAATGCATATTACTAATCAAAAATTACGTTTTAATTTATTTACAGTAGGACATTTAGAAAATATCTTCATGGAACATGATCTTTACTTAATATCCTAATGACTTTAGGCATAAAAGAAAAATCAATAATTTTGACCCATACAATGTATTTTTGGCTATTGCTACAGATATACCCCAGCGACTTAAAGGAACACTCCACTATTTTTGAAAATTATCTTTTCCTTTAACACTGGTTTTGTGGTCCAGGGTCACATATTTAAATACATCAAATATATTTATATAGAAATTAAAAAATTAAACACATGACATACTTGTTTCAATAGAAATAACATTCAAGTATACTTTATTTGACCTTAAATGCTTGTCAGAACATTCAGCAGTACACTTTATCCATATTTCAAAAACAATAAAAGTAATTATGAAATTACATATAAAGATATACTTCAGTCCTACTTAAGTGGGTCAAAAAGTGCTATTAATTTCAGCTAATTGCATTTGATATAAATTTAAACTTTAATCATTTTTCATTTCATTGTAAATTACGCACAATTAACTGTCTGAAAATATTATATTGAGTTTGCACTTAATTATATATTTTTTAATGTATATTATTTCCATAGTACTCATGCTTTTAGTATGTCTACTTCTTTTTAACAAAGGATCTAATTTCATCACAGCACAGAAAAGGAATGTATTCAAAGATAATCTGAAATGTTTGTGTAGGGTGAAACAAAAGGTCATTGTTGCCTGTCTGTGTGTGTTCCTGTCCTGTAGACGGCCTGGCTTTTCCATCTGTCTGTGGCCGCGGGCACCGCAGTGGGGCAGGTGGGGACTGAGTTCGAGCAGCTGGTTGGTAAACTGCTCAGCATAGAGGGAGATCCAGGTAAAATTCTCACATCTGCACTCATTTCATATATTTAATTGTGGTGGAATGTCTCACATCAGACTCATAAAGTACATATAAGGGATAGACATGCCACCTGTTATGCTGTTAGCTGAATACTTTAGACTTGCATAAAAAACGTAAAGCACTGTTTCATTTGTATCTATTTTTTCAATTGTATTTGTCCTTTGCTTTTTTATTACTGATTTTTAAAATTATTTTCAATCATTTTTGAGGACTTTTTTTTGTTTGTTTGTTTTTTACTAATATTAGTTCCCCTAGTATTCTGCTGTGGTATTGAGAATTGTGAAATTTCTCTAAATCTCTAAATGTCTCTAAAAACTAGATGTCATAGCAACCTTATTTACAGAAAATATATGTATTTTATATATATCGCTATCTTTAAATAAATAATTTTGATCTTGTGGCCCACTCGTGATCATGCTAAATAACCGTGATTATGATTTTTGCCATAATCGAGCAGTTTTGTCAATTGTTTTGTTTATTGGTCTAATTCCTGTTTCTGTTTTCTCTTTCTAATAAACCTTGCATTGGGTTAGTCACTCAATTAATTCTCTTATGCTTCTTTCCCACCCTTCTGAATTATGCTGTATTGATAAGGAGTTATCACAAACTAAGACTGTTCAGTTGTGCTATCTTACAATCAATTTATAGTAAATGTAAGTTAAAGTGTTGCCAATGTAACCGGTTAAAACTTGAAGTGGCGATGAGGTCTTAAAATGTATGGAAAGAGTCTTAAAAAAGGTCTTAAAAGGTATTAAATTTAACTCCATGATTCATGTATATACCCTGCAAAAGTAGCACCGGTTTCAGTTAGTTGGATGACAGCTGATATACAGTACAGGCATATGTATAATGAATACACAGTGTAGTTACGCCACACGCTCTAAAATATTTTATTGAGTAGAAATGGTTATAAAAAATATTCTTTACATTTTTTATACTTAACCTTTATTCAGTAAATGATGAACAACTGGAAAAGTTGTGTAAATTGGTTAAAAAGAGAGGGAATTCTAAAGAACATTCAGCTCTTTAAATATTGTTTGGATAATGGGGGGCCTTGGAGTCAAAAGATTTAAGAACTAAGTTTAAGTATATCTTTTTCTGTTTTCATTTTCATGCGGTTACATAAACTATAAGCCAACAAGACTGTAATGTAAAAAAAGATGCAGTGACTAAGTGGTTTATTCAGTTGCTTATAGCCAGCAGGGCCCCCCCCCCCCTCAAATCTCTGGGGCCCCAAGCATTTGTGCTGTGGTAAACACTTCTAAATGAAAGCACTGTGGTGTGTGGGTGTGCCGCTTGAGGCTGAGACTGATTTGACATATATTATTAAAATATAAGCATGGCAAACATTATATCATAAATTCAGTTTATTCTCAACTTGTTTACTTCAACCCCATGCTGCCCTTTTAAACTGTAGCTATATACAAACAATTTAATGTCCACATTTGTCCCTTTGTTTCTCAGGGTCTCATCTCTGGAGACACCCGACACTGTGCTTCACTAAGGAAGGACTGTCATCTCCACTCACCACCCTTCCTTCACAGGCTCTACAAACTGAAGCCATCAAGCTCTTTAAGGTTATACGTCTTCATTTATTACACATTTGGAGGGAATAACCCACCAAAAAACAGGCAGAAATTATCCTTTTCCTTTCTTTACAGACATGTCAGCTCTTCCTTAACGTGGCCATTGACACTCCAGCCATAGATTATTACGTGACTCTTGCCCAGTGTGCTCTACAAGTGTGTCTCACCCACCCAGAGCTGCAGAACGAGATCTACTGCCAGCTTATCAAACAGTCACGCAAGGGGCAGCCACACGGACCGCCGGAACCCCTGCAGGTCAGATGATACTTGTGATGTGAACACACACCACTAGAGGGAGTGATTGGTTTTGTTTTGTTTTGTGTTTGTCCTCATTTTGTGATTGAAGCCAAAAGGAGATGTCTTGACTTGTTTCTATTTACTGTAACACAGGGATGGCAGTTTCTGGCTTTGTGTGTCGGTCTTTTCCTGCCCACACCCCCTATTCTGTGGTATTTGCAGGTTCACCTCAAAAGACACGGAGATTCGAGGTAAATCAAAACCGAATCTATGCCTTAGCATTCCTGGAAGCACATCCCACAGTCACTCAGTCTCTGCTTTTTTTCCCCAGGACGGAAGTAGGAAAGTATGCCATTTACTGTCAGCGCTCACTGGAGCGGACGCAGCAGAAGGGGGCTCGGCAAGCCCGATCGTCACGAATGGAGATCCTATCAATTTTACTCAGGAACCCTTATCATCACTCTTTGCCCTTCAGTGTGCCTGTACACTTCCGTAACAACACCTACCAGGTGCACACATATGCAAATCAGGCTTATGATGAAAGAACAGTTCATTTAGAAATGAACAATCTGTCATTATTTACTCATCCTGATGTTCTTCTACATCTTCTTACAGTTATTTTCAATAATATGGAGCAAAAAAGACAAAACAAATACGATGAAACTATTATAAAAGTAGTTCATTTTAATTGTGCGCTATATTCCAAGTCATCTGAGATATTCGATGGATGACTTAAAACTGTTTATTGGGCATTTTGAAGAGGTCTTTATGAATCATCGTGTGCTTTTGCTGTAGCTTGAATGGTAATGCATGACGTTAACATCAACAACGTCTTGGGTTCGCTACCCAGGGAATACAAAATCTGCTTTTCAGCTTCTGCAAAATGCATACATTTATAGAAAACAGCTGCATGAAGATTGTTTAAAAAGGATTTCCATGGTCATGTAAAATTTGGACATATCAGAATTTTAATGTATTAAAATGTAATGTTATTACAGTGAAAAAATTTTTTTTTTTTTCAAGTTATACTCTGCTCTAAATAATTGTATTTCTCTTTGTAAGTGCTGAGTCTTCTAAGAGCTTATTGGAGTATAATTGTACAAAATGCTAGACTGTCAGGGAATAGGCTGGATTCAGGTCCGGGTTCAACAGAAGCTTTATTGTACAGAGATCGATCACCACGGGCAATGAGCGCCTCCGCGGACAGTTCGGGTGGACATGGAATCCCCAACCACACAGATGGGTGGATAGCCGCGGCTGGAACAAGCCGTAACAGCGGCAGTGAAGACGAAGCCGGAAGGGCAGCTCGCTAATCCGAGCAAGAGGCTGAGCAGCCCAACAACGAGACCGCAGAGTCCCATGGTAGGCGGATTCCAGAGGGAGCCCACGGGCTTCTGAACGCACAGAGAGGTTCGGGAAAATAAACTGGCAGCTACGAGCACTGGAGCCTGGATGAGACAAGACAGGACTGGTAAGCGATACTAACAATGACAGTCAGAGCAAGGGAACAATCACAACAATCTGACAAAAGACAGAGAAACACAAGGAGCTATAAGGGGAAGCTAATGAGATAACAAGAATCTGGTGTGAAACAAGAGGCGAGCAGAGAAACAAGGAGGGCGGGGAAACAATCATGCTGACAAATGCGCACGTGGCGAGCTGTCAAAACAAGCCACGCACAACAACACACAACACCCAAATACAGGGACAGCAAGAAACAGGTGATCAGACCCAAGACCCGACAGTACCCCCCCTCCCAGGAGCGCCAACAGGCGCCCCAGGATGAGGCCCACCTTGTCGCTGATGGAAGTCCTCGATCAACGAACGGTACAAAATGTCCTGGGACGGCACCCAGCATCTCTCCTCTGGACCATAACCCTCCCAGTCCACGAGATACACACAACACCCAAATACAGGGACAGCAAGAAACAGGTGATCAGACCCAAGACCCGACAGTACCCCCCTCCCAGGAGCGCCAACAGGCGCCCCAGGATGAGGCCCACCTTGTCGCTGATGGAAGTCCTCGATCAACGAACGGTCCAAAATGTCCTGGGACGGCACCCAGCATCTCTCCTCTGGACCATAGCCACTTACGAGAGGGCACCCGGAGAGGCAGATCCCTGGTAGAAAGCCATACCCGTTGACCGCACACATAGGTTGGAGGAGAGGACCGGCGACGATCGGCTGCTGCCTTGGTTCGTCCTGAGGTTCGGACCAAAACCCTCCTGACTTCCTCCCAGGTGCGGTGGCAGCGCTGAACGAAAGCCAGGGCAGACAGAACCGCAGCATCGGGTTCCTGTGATGGAAACAGAGGCGGTTTATATCCCACAGAGCACTCAAACGGGGACATACCTGAAGCCGCCACTGGAAGGGAGTTACACGCGTATTCTATCCAGGAGAGCTGTTGGCACCAGGAACTCGGATTGTTGGATGTCAGACAGCGGAGCATTCTTTCGAGATCCTGGTTGGCCCGCTCGCATCGCCCATTGGTCTGAGGATGGAAACAGGAAGACAGACTCACAGAGGCCCCGATCTGTCTACAAATTTCTTTCCAAAACCCGGAGGTGAACTGAGGACCCCTATCTGAAACCACGTCAACCGGCAATCCATGGAGACGGAAGATGTAAGTTGGGCGGTCTCCCAGGCAGAGGGCAATTTGGGCAGGGGAATGAAATGAACCGCCTTAGAAAAGCGATCCACCACAGTGAGAACCACAGTGTTACCCTTCGATGGGGGAAGCCCAGAGACAAAATCAAGGGTGATGTGTGACCATGGATGGGAAGGGACAGGAAGAGGATGAAGCAGACCATCGGGAGGGCGATTCACTGGCTTACATTGGTCGCATGTGGGGCAGGCCAACACAAACTGTCTGACATCTGCGGCCAGTGTGGGCCACCAGAAGCGTTGACGGATGGCAAACAACGTTCTCCGAATCCCTGGATGGCAAACCAGCCTGAACGCATGACCCCACTGAAGGACTTCGGGGTGCAGCACAGCCGGCACCGGCAACCTGCCCGCTGGGCACTTCCCTGGCACTTGCACCCCTCAACCGGCCTCCTCTACTCGCCACTATATACCCCAAGAAAGAGCCCCGACCACCACCCCTTCAGAAATGATGACTTCGGCCACAAGCTCCCCCTCCGGAGCCCCGAACAGGCGCGAGAGAGTGTCTGGCTTGACGTTCTTAGACCCTGGCCGGTACGAGAGGGTGAAGTTGAATCCGCCAAAGAAAAGCGCCCAGCGGGCCTGATGCGAGCTCAGCCTCTTGGCCGAACGGATATATTTGAGATTCTTGTGATCCATCCAGACCAAGAAGGGCTGCGCCGACCCCTCCAACCAGTGACGCCACTCCCCCAAGGCCAATCTCACCGCCAACAGTTCTCTATTACCAATGTCGTAGTTACGTTCTGCAGGGCTGAGACTGCGAGAAAAGAAAGCACACGGGTGCACCTTCCCGTCGCGGAGGGATCGCTGAGACAGAACTGTGCCAACCCCGACGTCCAATGCGTCAACCTCGACAATGAACTGGGACTCAGGATCTGGATCCAACAGAACAGGCGCAGAGACAAAATGGGACTTTAATGTGTCAAAGGCTACCTGAGTATCCTGGTTCCACCTGAAGGACACCTTGGTGGAGGTTAATGCCGTGAGCAGAGCAGCGATCTGACCAAAATTCCTGATGTATCGCCGATAGAAGTTGGCAAAACCCAGGAAACGCTGCAGAGCCTTACGGGAGTCGGGGACTAGCCACTTGGCGACAGCCTCTATCTTAACAGGGTCTGGTTTAATCCCCCTGGTAGAGATAATATGCCCAAGGAACGTAACAGACTCGGGGTGTAATTCGCACATCTCCGCCTTGACGAACAACTGGTTTTCTAATAGGTGCTGGAGGACCCGTCTAACGTGCTGAGTGTGTAAGTGGAGAGAAGGGGAGAAAATCAGAATATCATCCAAATACACAAAGACGAACTGATTAATCATGTCACCCAGAACGCTATTGACGAGACCCTGGAATACGGCCGGAGCATTGGTCAGACCAAACAGAAGAACCAGATACTCGTAGTGTCCCGAGGGGGTGTTGAATGCCGTCTTCCACTCATCCCCCTCCCGCATGCGCACCAGATGGTAGGCGTTGCGAAGGTCTAATTTGGTGAAGACCCGAGCTCCCTGCAATAATTCAAAAGCAGAAGACATTAGAGGTAGGGACACGTGATCCACCATCAGTTGGGCGGTCTCCCGGGCGGAGGGCAATTTGGGCAGGGGAATTAAATGAACCACCTTGGAAAAGCGATCCACCACAGTGAGAACCACAGTGTTACCCTTCGATGGGGGAAGCCCAGAGACAAAATCAAGGGTGATGTGTGACCATGGATGGGAAGGGACAGGAAGAGGATGAAGCAGACCATCGGGAGGGCGATTCACTGGCTTACATTGGTCGCATGTGGGGCAGGCCAACACAAACTGTCTGACATCTGCGGCCAGTGTGGGCCACCAGAAGCGTTGACGGATGGCAAACAACGTTCTCCGAATCCCTGGATGGCAAACCAGCCTGAACGCATGACCCCACTGAAGGACTTCGGGGTGCAGCACAGCCGGCACCGGCAACCTGCCCGCTGGGCACTTCCCTGGCACTTGCACCCCTCAACCGGCCTCCTCTACTCGCCGCTCTATACCCCAAGAAAGAGCCCCGACCACCACCCCTTCAGAAATGATGACTTCGGCCACAAGCTCCCCCTCCGGAGCCCCGAACAGGCGCGAGAGAGTGTCTGGCTTGACGTTCTTAGACCCTGGCCGGTACGAGAGGGTGAAGTTGAATCCGCCAAAGAAAAGCGCCCAGCGGGCCTGATGCGAGCTCAGCCTCTTGGCCGAACGGATATATTTGAGATTCTTGTGATCCATCCAGACCAAGAAGGGCTGCGCCGACCCCTCCAACCAGTGACGCCACTCCCCCAAGGCCAATCTCACCGCCAACAGTTCTCTATTACCAATGTCGTAGTTACGTTCTGCAGGGCTGAGACTGCGAGAAAAGAAAGCACACGGGTGCACCTTCCCGTCGCGGAGGGATCGCTGAGACAGAACTGTACCAACCCCGACGTCCGATGCGTCAACCTCGACAATGAACTGGGACTCAGGATCTGGATCCAACAGAACAGGCGCAGAGACAAAATGGGACTTTAATGTGTCAAAGGCTACCTGAGTATCCTGGTTCCACCTGAAGGACACCTTGGTGGAGGTTAATGCCGTGAGCAGAGCAGCGATCTGACCAAAATTCCTGATGTATCGCCGATAGAAGTTGGCAAAACCCAGGAAACGCTGCAGAGCCTTACGGGAGTCGGGGACTAGCCACTTGGCGACAGCCTCTATCTTAACAGGGTCTGGTTTAATCCCCCTGGTAGAGATAATATGCCCAAGGAACGTAACAGACTCGGGGTGTAATTCGCACATCTCCGCCTTGACGAACAACTGGTTTTCTAATAGGTGCTGGAGGACCCGTCTAACGTGCTGAGTGTGTAAGTGGAGAGAAGGGGAGAAAATCAGAATATCATCCAAATACACAAAGACGAACTGATTAATCATGTCACCCAGAACGCTATTGACGAGACCCTGGAATACGGCCAGAGCATTGGTCAGACCAAACGGAAGAACCAGATACTCATAGTGTCCCGAGGGGGTGTTGAATGCCGTCTTCCACTCATCCCCCTCCCGAATGCGCACCAGATGGTAGGCGTTGCGAAGGTCTAATTTGGTGAAGACCCGAGCTCCCTGCAATAATTCAAAAGCAGAAGACATTAGAGGTAGGGAGTACCTGTTCTTTACTGTAATGCAATTCAAACCTCTGTAATCAATACAAGGGCTTAGGGAGCCGTCTTTCTTCTGAATGAAGAAAAACCCCGCCCCAGCGGGAGAGGAGGAATGGCGAATGAGCCCAGCCTGTAGTGACTCACGTATATACCTGTCCATGGCCTCTCTTTCAGGACCGGAAAGGGAATATAAACGACCTTTAGGTGGAGAAGTGCCCGGGAGAAGGTCTATGGCACAGTCGTAGGGACGATGCGGAGGTAGATAGGTGGCCCGGGACTTACTGAAAACTGCACGAAGATCGCAGTACTCCGCCGGGACGCCGGTCAAGTCAGCGGGATCCACCTAGGAAACACAAGACACAGAGACAGCAGGAAAAGCAGCACCTAAATATGACACATGACAAGACTGACTCCAGGTTAAAATAGAATTATTGACCCAATCAATATGTGGGTTGTGTTTCAGCAACCAAGGATGTCCTAAAATTAACGGGGCCTTAGGGGAGTCAGTAATTAACAGTTTGATCTGCTCACAGTGGTTACCAGAGAGGGAAAGGCTTACACAAGGGGGGAAGTGAGTGATGGTAGTGAGGGGATTGCCCGATAATGACCACGCCGTAATGGGCTTAACCAGGGGAATGGTCGGAATGTTCCACTTGTGAGCAGAGGCAGAATCCAGGAAATTCCCCTCAGCCCCCGAATCCAGAAGGGCGTGGCCAGTGTGTGAACCTCCCTGGAAGGAGAGTCGAAAGGGCAGCTGAGTGCCCGTTGCTGGAGAGTTTGAACAGGGAAAGGCGCCCACCAGGACTCTTCGCTTCACTGGTGGGCCCTGACTTTTAACGGGCACTGAAGGACAAAGTGGCCAGCCTTGCCGCAGTACAGGCACAATCCCTGAGCTAAACGCTCCTGTTTCTGCTGCGGCGTAAGCCTGAGATGACCCAGCTGCATGGGCTCAACATCAGCTGACTGTGAACTCGCCGCATCGAATGACACGGACTCCAGGTGGCGCCACGGAGTAGTGGATTGACGGCGTTGCCAGTGGCGGTTGAGACGGCCCTCCACACGGAGCGTGAGATTAATCAAATTGTCCAGCTCTCGAGGAAGATCCACAGTCGCTATGGCATAGTCGGTGACATCATCCAGTCATCAGAAATCGCGTAGCACACCCTCATTCCAGCCGCAAGCCGCCGCTAGAGTCTGAAACTGTATAGCACGCCCTCATTCCAGCCGCAAGCCGCCGCTAGAGTCTGAAACTGTATGGCATAGTCGGTGACTGAGCATCTCCTCTGAGACAACCGAGACAGCTGAGCTGCCGCCTCATCTCCCTGGGCTGACCGGTCGAACAGCTTCGCCATCTCCTCGTCAAAATCCGCAAAAGTAGCACAGCAGGGAGCCCGCAATCTCCATACGGCAATCCCCCAGTTGCGGGCACGACCTGAGAGGAGAGTGAGGACGTATGCAACCTTAGCCTCCTCTGTGGCACAACGTCGAGGCTGCAGTGAAAACACCAGCGAACAGTGGGAGAGAAAGGCTTGGCAGGCATTCGGATCGCCATCATACACTGGTGGATTGTTGGCATGAGGTTCGGGGTCCAAAGGAATACCAGCGCGGAGGACGGAACCCCGGTTAGCCGCCTCCCACTGAAGATCATCGACGCGCGTGAGGAGCTCAGCGACTCGGGCATTTAGCGCGCCCACCTCTTGCGCTGTGGTGTTGAGCTGGGTGGCATGCTGCCCCAGCAAAACTCCCTGTTGCACGAGAGCAGAACGAAGCGGATCCGATCCCGCTGAATCCATCGTGGTCAGATTGTTCTGTCAGGGAATAGGCTGGATTCAGGTGCGGGTTCAACAGAGGCTTTATTGTACAGAGATCGATCACCACGGGCAATGAGCGCCTCCGCGGACAGTTCGGGTGGACGTGGAATCCCCAAGCACACAGATGGGTGGATAGCCGCGGCTGGAACAAGCCGCAACAACGGCAGTGGAGACGAAGCCAGAAGGGCAGCTCGCTAATCCGAGCGAGAGGCTGAGCAGCCCAACAATGAGACCGCAGAGTCCCAGGGTAGGCGGATGCCAGAGGGAGCCCACGGGCTTCTGAACGCACAGAGAAGTGCGGGAAAATAAACTGGCAGCTATGAGCACTGGAGCCTGGACGAGACAAGACAGGACTGGTAAGCGATACTAACAATGACCGTCAGAGCAAGGGAACAATCACAACAATCTGACAAAAGACAGAGAAACACAAGGAGCTATAAGGGGAAGCTAATGAGATAACAAGAACCTGGTGTGAAACAAGAGGCGAGCAGAGAAACAAGGAGGGCGGGGAAACGATCATGCTGACAAATGCGCACATGGCGAGCTGTCAAAACAAGCCACGCACAACAACACACAACACCCAAATACAGAGAAAGGAAGAAACAGGTGATCAGACCCGAGACCCAACACTAGACTACTTATCAAAAGTTTAGGTTCTGTAAGATTTTTTTTAATGTTTTTGATCTCTTATGCTCACCAAGGCTGCATATATTTGATCAAAAATACAGTAAAAACAACAATACCGTGAATTTTTTTTTTTTTTTTTTTTTTTTACATTTTTAAAAATTTTTTTTTTTTTTATATATTTTTCATTTTATAGCATTTGAAACTATAAATTATAAATATTATAAATAGTCATGGTTAAAAAAAACTAAAGGAGAATAAAAACACCTCAGTTTTATTCAGAGGACTAAATAAAGATCTACGAGAGGCCTAAAAAAATGCAATTTGGTACAGTTGCAGATATTTATATGGCAAAATAAACTAAAATTTAATTAAATAAAATAAAAATAAATTTAAAAAGATTACAAAATAAATAAATAAATGGCATCTTTACAACAGTATAACAGACTACTTACATAAAATACATATAAATATCCGTTGTCACTATAAATCACAATAATATGTCTTAGTAAGATGATATTTAAATGCTTAGTGTTATGATCAAAGCTCTGCAGTTTTTATTGTGGGGAGCAAAAGATCTACAAATAAACAATGTACGCATAAACGTTTCTCAAAAGTCTTGCGAATATTTGATATTCACTTTAACTTTATTGAAAGTAAGAACTATCAATAAGAGGTCATTAAGTAAAAGAAGAAGAAGAGGAGGAAGAATATACTTTTTAGACATATTTTTGTTTATTAAACATCAGTAAGAACTGAGATTGGAGCGTTGCCATTTGATAACACTTTCAGCTAGCTCCTGCATTGAATTTTTATATTTTTAAATGTAAAGTCTGGTGCAAAAAGTGAATCAATACAATTTATGCATAAAGGGCATTTGAAAAGTATAGCAAAAAAATGTATCGTGATGGCATGGTGAAACTTTCCCATCCATAATAAATCACTTTATAATTATACAGAGAATAAGCTCAACTTTAGGTACCGTTAATTGTGTGTATGTGTGTGTGTGTGTGTGTGCGCGCATTTTTGTGACAAATGACATAAATTTGTATAATGACAAAGGTATGACATAGGTATTACAAGGAGAAAAGGAGAAATGCAGATGAGCTGAAGGCCACTGTCAAAGAAACCTGGGCTTCCATACCACCTCAGCAGTGCCACAAACTGATCACCTCCATGCCACGCCGAATTGAGGCAGTAATTAAAGCAAAAGGAGCCCCTACCAAGTATTGAGTACATGTACAGTAAATGAACATACTTTCCAGAAGGCCAACAATTCACTAAAAATGTTTTTTTTTATTGGTCTTATGAAGTATTCTAATTTGTTGAGATAGTGAATTGGTGGGTTTTTGTTAAATGTGAGCCAAAATCATCACAATTAAAAGAACCAAAGACTTAAACTACTTCAGTCTGTGTGCATTTAATTTATTTAATACACGAGTTTCACAATTTGAGTTGAATTACTGAAATAAATGAACTTTTCCATGCCATTCTAATTTATTGAGATGCACCTGTATGTTATTATTGAAAACAGTTCTGATACTTTTTTAAAAATGTAAATCTTTTCTCTTTACTGTCACTTTTAATCAATTTATTACATCCTTGCTGAATAAAAGTATTAATTCCTTTTAAGGAAAAAAACTTTACTGATCCACACAACTTTGTAAAACTATTAAATAGAAATCCTCATCCAATAGCCATGAAAAACTTGAAACATCAAATACATTTATTGCCAAAAAGTGTGGGAATCAGATGTTCTTATTTTTATATTCCATGGAACAAAACATCATGAAGGTGTTTAAATAATGTGAGAATTTTCATTTTGGGTGATCTGTTTCTTACAAAATGACATAACAAACAACAGGTAATACACCATCTGTCTGTCTAAGCTAACAGTCTTTATGTGTCAGGTTGTTAGTTTTGATGCTTCAACAACAGTGGAGGAGTTTCAGAGTCAGCTGAACCAGGACACGGGCATGAGGAAAACCGGCCAGTCTGGTTTCAGCCTTTATTCTGATGACCCCACTGGCAAAGACCTCGAGCACTGTCTTCAGGGACACCTGAAGGTCAGAAACACACAAAAACATTCTTATTATTTTAGAAACTGTACTTTCTAACTGTCTTTATCTTCACAAAATGTGCTGTGTCCTCAGATCTGTGACATTATTTCAAAATGGGAGCAAGCCTCGAAGGAGCAGCACGCAGGGAAATCAGAGAATGCCAGGACAGTGAAGCTCACTTATAAGAACCGGTAGAGAGCAGACTCTTAAACAGAACATAAGCAAGATGGCTATCTCCAAAAGGCTGTAATTTGAGACTAACTGCTAGTTTGTTTCCTCTAGGTTATACTTCTCCCTGCAGATGAGAGGGGAGACCGAGAGAGAGCGTTTGCTTCTGGCGTACCAAACAAATGAGGAAATTACTGCTGGTCACTTCCCTGTTAACAAAGAGCTTGCTTTAGAAATGGCCGCCCTGCTTGCTCAGGTACACAGTGCTGCTCCTCAGAATATTAGTGCATCTCACAAACCTGTCAAGATCATGTTCAGGGTATATTTTACCTCTCTTTGTCAATGAATTAAACAGCCTACTACATTTCTTCAACGTCACACCCTCTCGTCTGACACATCGACCACAGTGACACATCTTAACTTTCTTCTACGGATGTATACTTAAAAAATTTGAATTAAATGTGATGACAGAGAAATTTAAATTGAGCCTAATTACCTAAAATGTAGCTCCTTTTCTATGGAGATGCTATAAGCAATTTATTTTTATAGGAATGGGATGGGAATCAAACAGAATTGACATATTATGGTTCTAAAAGGATTCTATTAATAATTATTTTAGTAATGGTGGAGCTGAGGGAGCCGATTTGTGACTGTGATTTGTGATCTGTGAGTTTTTGACATTAAAAGAACATTCATAAAATTCACTCAGACTTCATTAAAAGAAGTAGTTCATAAGAATCATATATTTGTGAATCAGACTTGTATTATAATCATTCTTGTATTATTTTTAAAAAGACTATTAACCTAGTCTTTTTTTTTTCGTATTGTAACTATTTTCAGGACAATTCAAAACCATTTTTTTAAATGTAATTTGTGTAAAAATTATATAAATCATTTACACATGATAAATAAAATAATTCATGATTTGACAGATTTTGTTTAGACCATCATAGTTTTAACCATACAATAATTAATGTTGAATGAATGGAAATAAATTGAATTTTTATATTTTTAAATGTAAAGTCTGGTGCAAAGAGTGAATCAATACAATTTATGCATAAAGGGCATTTGAAAAGTATAGCAAAAAAATGTATCGTGATGGCATGGTGAAACTTTCCCGTCCATAATAAATCACTTTATAATTATACAGAGAATAAGCTCAACTTTAGGTACCGTTAATTGTGTGTATGTGTGTGTGTGTGTGTGTGCGCGCATTTTTGTGACAAATGACATAAATTTGTATAATGACAAAGGTATGACATAGGTATTACAAGGAGAAGGTGACTTTTCAGGACATTACCCCATAATATTCAGGTTTTACTTATTTAATTACATTTTTTTGTTTTTTTATGTAAACGGTAAAGTTTACCGTTTACATTTTTTTAAAATTATTATTCAGCAAAAACATTAAATTGAGCAAGGGTCATTGTAAAGACTTCTATAATGTTACCAAAAAAATTATATTTCAAACAATTGTTTTTGTTTTGAACTTTCTATTCAGTTAAAGGTATAGTTCACCCAAAAATAAAAATTATATCATCATTTACTCACCCTGTACTTGTTCCAAACCAAATAGTTGATGGTAGCCGTTTACTTCCATAGTATTTTTTTTCCATACTACAATGGCTACCGTCAACTGTTTGGTTACCAACATTCTTCAGAATGTCTTCTTTTGTGTTCAACAGAAAAAAGAAATTAATACAGGTTGGGGGAAAAGTGGAGGTATTGAGTAAATAATGATGAGTAAATAATTTACATTTTTGGGTAGAGTATCCCTTTAAGAATGCTGTGGGGGATATATACAGCATGGTTTCCGCAAAAATATTAAGCAGCACAACTGTTTTCGACATTGATGATAATAATAAGAAATGATTCTTGAGCAGCAAATTATCATATTAGAAAGATTTCTTAAGGATCATGTGACTGGAGTAATGATGCTGAAAATTCAGCTTTGCATCACAGGAATAAATTACATTTTAAAATGAATTCAAATAGAACAGTTATTTTAAATCGTTATAATATTTCACATCACTGTTTTACAGTGTTTTGATCAAATAAATGCAGCCTGGCTGAGAATATGAGACGATATTCAAAAACATTTAAAAAAAAAATCGTACTAACTTTTGAACATTGGTGTACTTATATTCTCTTTTACACATAGAGCAAACACACACCAAAGTACACAGAAACACACAGACTGATGAGTACTTCTGTTTGCTATGTAGAAACATTAGATGACGTAATCTAACCATCTAACATTGCATAAGTTGCTGGAGAATTGAAATCGCGCAGCAGCAAACATGTGCATTTTCCAAAGCGTGAACAGCATTTCTCTGCTTTCTTTGTGTTGTTCAGGTTCGAGACACGACGTTGCTCATAACCAGCTACATTAACTGCACACAACAACAAAAAGCAGCGGCGCACCACCTGTCGGCCCCAGCCCTGCTGCTGGCTCTTTCTGGAGAGATGAAGAACAAGGATTCGAGGAGCAAGACTCCTCCAGCCGCCTGCAGACCCAGCAAAGCACCCACCCTCCTTTAAGTGGACCGTACAGTATGTGGTGGTGTTCACTCAGGATATACATATATAGTCAGTCCATTCTCAGCTGATCAAAATCCCTGGCTAGTGTCCAAAAAAACATATTTACAATATACTGGTTCACATCAAAGAGAATTTGGAAATCTCTTAAATCATCTAATACTTCCTGTTGGGGCTGAGGGGGACATGGCTGACAGTAGTTCTCAACATTAAAACGGGTGAGATCCCCGTAAATAATAAATAGTATTTTGCATATGAAAATTAAAAAAAATCGTACTAACTTTTGAACATTGGTGTACTTATATTCTCTTTTACACATAGAGCGAACACACACCAAAGTACACAGAAACACACAGACTGATGAGTACTTCTGTTTGCTATGTAGAAACATTAGATGACGTAATCTAACCATCTAACATTGCATAAGTTGCTGGAGAATTGAAATCGCGCAGCAGCAAACATGTGCATTTTCCAAAGCGTGAACAGCATTTCTCTGCTTTCTTTGTGTTGTTCAGGTTCGAGACACGACGTTGCTCATAACCAGCTACATTAACTGCACACAACAACAAAAAGCAGCGGCGCACCACCTGTCGGCCCCAGCCCTGCTGCTGGCTCTTTCTGGAGAGATGAAGAACAAGGATTCGAGGAGCAAGACTCCTCCAGCCGCCTGCAGACCCAGCAAAGCACCCACCCTCCTTTAAGTGGACCGTACAGTATGTGGTGGTGTTCACTCAGGATATACATATATAGTCAGTCCATTCTCAGCTGATCAAAATCCCTGGCTAGTGTCCAAAAAAACATATTTACAATATACTGGTTCACATCAAAGAGAATTTGGAAATCTCTTAAATCATCTAATACTTCCTGTTGGGGCTGAGGGGGACATGGCTGACAGTAGTTCTCAACATTAAAACGGGTGAGATCCCCGTAAATAATAAATAGTATTTTGCATATGAAAATGAAATGTATTTCTTTTGTTTTTTTATTGTTTGTTTTTTGCATTGTGACATTTTTATGACATTTTCCACCAAATTGTCATTAACATATTTTGTCCAGACATTGCACTTTTTGAGTTTTGTAATGCACATTCTTAATGGTATTCTCAATTTTCATATATATATATATATTCAAAAAAGCATCAATACTGTACAAAACACGGTTTCATTTATTAATTTATGCAGATTTTTATAAGTAGACAGTATTTTGTACAGTATTGCTGTTTTGTAATTTTCATTATGCATTATTGTAATGTAATTTTTGGTTTGAAATGTGCATTATTGTCATGAAAATGTAAAAGGATCTTAATTTTTCCATAAGCCAAAAATAACAATAATAACTTTGATTTGGGTATGAATTATGGCCAGAACTGTTCTTTGAGACTTTTCATGAGATTCACCCAAACACTTGGGTTTAGTTTTCAGGCTTTACCAACAATCTCTTTTGAAACAAATATATAAACTCAAAACACTATGTAAACACATTTCCTTCTATCATTATATCAAGTGCACTACATATGTAGGCCATACATTGCTGAGCGATGTGCTGGCTTGCTGACGTTGACTCAGCTGGAATTGAAAACAAGTTGTGATCGCAGAATGTGTAACCTCCCATGCTGAAATCTCACCTCACGTTAGCATGTTGAAGCATGTCGAGAGAATGCAAGAATTATGATAAAGCAGGAAGTCCATTACAAAAAAAATATGTGTGGTCTTTAGAAGTCAACATGGAGTTATGTACTGCAGGATGGCTGGGGTGTTTTAGAGAGTTTGTGTTGTACTGCTGTACTGAACATGGGGTGTGAGATTTATAAAGAGATACACTGCAGGAGAAACAAACTGGAAGGTTTTGTTTTATTTATTTATTTATTTATTTTTGGGGGGGGGGAGTACCAAAGCATTATACTGTATGACAGATAATGTCATAGCAAATTGTATTTATTTCTAAAGTGTATTTTCTATAATTATTATCTATTATACAGCTTTAAATAAATGCCCTTATTCAAAAAGGAAAATTCAAATTTATTAATTTATGTATTTCAAAATAGATATATATTTTGGTAGAAAGAAATTCATTCAAGTACACTTCTGGTCAAAAGTTTGGGGTCAGCAATCTCTTACGCTCACCCAGGCTGCATTTATTTAATCAAAAATACAGTAAAACAGTAATATTGTGAAATATCATTGCAAAATTAAAAATGGAAACTTAAAATGTAATTTATTCCTGTGATGCAAAGCTGAATTATCAGCATCGTTATTCCAGTCTACAGTGTCACATGATCTTATATATGCTTAAGTTAAAAAGAACAGCATTTATTTAAATTGGAAATATTTTATAACATTATAATTTATTCTGTTCATCACTTTTGGATCAATGTAATGTGTCCTGAATAAAAAGTATTATTTTCTTTCAAACTTTTGAACAGCAGCGTACCTATAATTCGTGTACTTCTCATGAATACAACACAGATTCAGCGAATTATGACTGCATGCCATGTAACATAATTTATTCAAAATGTAGAGGATATGAACGATTGTTTGGTTTCTTGTCATCAGTGTTCTGAAGATGCACATATTACATATTACTCAAATGACTGTTTTGTTTTGTTGCCTCGGTTGCCACACTTTCTTAATTTCCCAACCCATTGAAAATGAAAAACCAGATATTCTTCCCATGTCACAACCTCCCATTTGGCACAAAGTTGTTTTTATATGAGCACTTCTTGTTCCACTGGCAGACTGCCTCACATCATTACACTGATTAAAATCCATTTATCAGTTACTTACAGTATGTTACTTGGAACCATTTGCC